GTTCGACATTTCAGCTGGCTTACTTGTTGCCATCTTCTTACACTCACCATGCAGCATGCAGCCATGTTGGACATGGCTGGCTGCTATCAATTGAGTTCACACTTAACATGGACATGTGTTCTGCAACATGTCTTAAGAGAGGGAAATAGTTATGCTGACGGTCTTGTAAAGTTGGGAGCTTCAAGCGGTACTCCATGGTGGGAATAAAGACCCTATTCTAAAAAAGAAAAAAAAAAGTGATTTGCTATCTTGCTTGCTTGTCCACTGTCTTTATTGGCATCAAAGAACTTATTCTAAAGAAAGTAAAAAAGCAAGTAATATCTAACGACTAAGGGTGAAGAATTTGAGTACGAAAATATGCGAGGCTTTAAAAATTAAAATTCTTATAGGCTGACAGATGGGAATTTTCTTTATAAGAAGTACTAGAAAAAGATATGTATTAGTAATCAATAACTATCAAAAAATTCATTCACTTGTTGAGAAGTTATGGAAGAAGAGGGAAAGAGGGAAGAGAGAAAATGGGCGATAACATGGGAAGGATTTGTTCAAGAGCTAAGGAAGGCAGGCTATATAGCAGCTCCAATGGTGGCCGTGTCAGTATTGCAGTATCTCCTACAAGTTGTGTCTGTGATAATTGTAGGACACCTTGGTGCACTTGCACTCTCTAGTGCTGCCATTGCCACTTCTATTACCAATGTTACAGGGTTTAGCCTTCTTGTATGTCTTCTAATACTGTCCCTTTTCTTAATTTTTTGTATAAAGGTCCTTTTTATCTTCTTGCATCTTTCAACTAGGATGAATCATTATGCTTTCAATTCAGAAATTAAGTTTGCTTTCTCTCCATTAAGGAGAGAGGAAGAGGATTTTGTTCAAGAATCCACTTCATCCATCCTGGAATTTGATCAGAGGAAGGAAAAAAGAAAAAAAAAGCAACCCTTAGGTCCTTGCTAGTTTTGGATTAACCCCTAAATCTTATGTTTCATGTTCAGAAATCTTAAATTTATCATTTAAACATTTTTCTTTCCATACAAGCAATTTTTTTTTTTGGTCAATTTTCTATTTGTCTATTTCCATTTTCTCTAATATTTTTGATCCCTCATGTTTGTGAGTATACTTACAGTGCATTACATAGTACTCTTCCGACCCACATCTCTTTCATGTAATCAAAAATAAATTTAATCTTAGCAATAAAACAAATAGCCAGAAAATTTTTTATTGTCAAACCAAAAGGAAAAATACTTTTTCATAGAGGAATTTATTGGGCGTCCGTAGCATGTCCATGCTACGCAGAGCAAGTTGAAAATTAAAAAAATTGAAATTATAAAGAAAGCTAAATGGCATGGGGATTTCAATATAATTCTAAACACATATTATTGGATTGTGATAATAAAATTGATATGGATATGTAGCGTAATTAAGAGGATGATGGGTGATATTTTAGTATTTTCATGTTATATTTTTTATTTTTAATCTAAAAACTACTAGCACGTGTTTCACGCACCCCTAATGAGTTGGTGGTGCTCACGCTATTAAAAAGGTGTGCGAGACACTTCTTGGTAGCCAAATTTGATCATTTGTCATATAACTAGATGCGCAAACATGTCATCTTTCACATGATGCTGCACATGTAGACATATCATGGTTAGATTACCGCTGATAATTGATTATTTGTGTTTTTTTTTCCTTATGAAAACTAAGATGTATAATTATTCTCTATTTGTTTGTTATTTTATTTAAATTTGGCAACCATGTCAGATCCAAGGTCCTTGGATCTGACAACAACGTTAGGATCAAGAGTTTTGAGTTTGGCAACCATGTCAAACATGTCAAACCTGCATTTGGATCTAGCACCAAAGATATAGTGCCCTACTTTATGACATCTATTGCTATATGAAAGAGTCCACCATTTCATTGTACACTGTTAGGAAAAAAAAGATATGGAGCCTTCCTAAATGAAAGATTTAATGAATTTAGAAAAAAAAAATATAGTTGCCAAACCTAGATATGAATATAGTAAACCTAAACAAATGGGTCTAGACCCAAGAGCTCTAGGTTTGGAAGGCATGTCATATCCAAATAAATAAGATTTGTAGTCATGTCATATCCAAGCCGGATTCAAAGTGCTAAAAATATTTTCTATATTTTCTATATTTTTTATATTTTTTAAAAATAAAATTAATATTAACTAGCTGCGGAGGGTGGATAAATATACTAATATCTATACAAAATTTGTTTGTTTGTTGTTTTTAGACTGAAATTTATTGACATCAATGCATGAAGTAAGTGTCTTATTGGGGTTTTCAAAGAGTAAATAGTTAATAAAACATGCATGTGTTCATTGTATGTGGACTTTTGTATTCCAAGCGCTTTGCTCACAAACAAAGACCCCAAGCCTTCTGCACCAAATCAAGCTTCGGACTTGCATGTTGACTACCCTCATCCCATAAATCCTCCTCCCTTTGTCCATTCCACATCTTTCTAACAATATCCCTTTACCTACCTTTCCTCCTCCTCCTTCTTTTCTATTATAATTTTTTTGCTACGTTACTTGCCTCTTCGTTATTGGCAAAAGTCCTTCCTTTCTTTGTATCAATTGTTCAATTTCATCCCATTATTAAAAAGAAATTCAATTAGTACCCTGTTCTTTTCAATTTTGTTTTTTTTTCCCAATTTTCTTTCTTTATTAAGCTTTCTTTTCACAATTATATTTGTGTTAACAATCATAAATTGACCCGAGTTTGTAATTAGCAAACAGTCAGGAATGGCAGGTGGATTGGAAACTCTAGCTGGCCAAGCATATGGAGCTAAACAATATCAAAAGCTTGGAACCTATACTTACAGTGCAATCATCTCTCTAATAATCATGTGCCCTCCAATTTGTGTCCTGTGGATCTTCATCGGCAAACTACTACCTCTACTAGGCCAAGACACTATCATCTCACAAGAAGCCTGCAAATACTCAATGTGGTTGATCCCTGCATTATTTGGGGGCGCAGTTCTTAAACCTTTGACTAGATATCTTCAGACACAAAGTGTGATTCTGCCAATGCTCATAACATCATCTTTCATCCTATGTTTTCACACCATTTCATGCTGGACTCTTGTGTACAAACTGCAATTAGGACAAAAGGGAGCAGCTATAGCCTTCAGTTTATCAACTTGGTTGAATGTGATATTGCTAGGCCTGTATGTAAAGTTCTCCTCAGCATGTGAAAAAACTAGAGCTCCATTGTCAAGAGAAGCACTTTATGGTATCGGAGAATTCTTTCGGCTCGGTGTCCCTTCTGCTATTATGATTTGGTAATTTCTTTTACCTTTTTCTTCTATCATGAAAATGCAATTTTTGTTTCTTTCTGTTTTCCTAACTTTAATACTATCATGCTTTAATCACAGTCTTAAATGGTGGTCACTGGAGTTGCTACTTTTGCTTTCCGGTCTTTTCAAAAATCCAAAACTGGAGACTTCAGTGCTTTCTATATGGTATTTTTAATATTTATTTTTGCTCCTATCCATATATTGACAAATTGGATGCTTGTAAAGATTGAATTAAATATTATTATAACTCTAATTTCTCAATAATATTTATTTTGCTTGATTTAGCCTCACAATCTCTACATTGCACTTCACTATACCATATGGATTTGGAGCTGCTGCAAGGTTTATAACATTCTCCTATTGAAAGCATATTCTTTAATTTAAAATAATGTATAGATTTCATATCAATCTGTCCATCCATATAGATTTCATGGTATTTTTGTAGCACACGAGTATCGAATGAACTAGGAGCTGGGAATCCTCAATTAGCTAGGATGGCAGTTCTGGTTGCGTTGTTTCTTGGTGGCACAGAGTCAGTCATTGTGAGCTCAGGGCTCTTCCTTTCCCGGCAAGTTTTGGGATGTGCTTACAGCAATGACAGGCAGGTTGTGCATTATATTTCAGTCATGACTCCCCTGATTTGTCTCTCATTCATCATGGACAGCTTACAAGCTGTCCTTTCTGGTTAGTTTCTTAGCTCTGTTTCATTTTTTATTTGGTTAATATATAAGCAAGAGCAGCCTGAAATACGTGATATCCTTTGCATCAGGTGTGGCTAGAGGAAGTGGATGGCAGAAAATAGGGGCATATATCAATCTTGGTTCATTTTATCTCGTTGGACTTCCCATGGCTGCTGTGCTTGGTTTTGGAGCTCATTTAAGAGGAAAGGGCCTTTGGATTGGAATATTAGCTGGGTCCTTTGCGCAATCAGTGCTTCTTTCTATTGTTACTGCTTGTACAGATTGGAACAAACAGGTCCTTAGTCCAATCTCTTTTTTCTTTCCTTCAACTTCTCTCCCTTGTATATGTTTTCATGTGCTGTTCTGTTAAAGGCTCCCATCAAGTGCAATGACAAATTGATGATCTTGTGTGCATACAGGTAGTAAAGGCAAGGGAAAGGGTATTAGAGAGAAGATCTTCAATGAAGGATGAGGAAAAATAGATTATAAGAATGTATACTTCTTTTAGAAATGTTCGTAGAATGATCCTTTGAAAGTATGAAATTGCACTTGGTTCATTGCCTTGTTCTTGTTGTGCATGTGAGCCAAAGTGGCAGGGGATTTACTACAACATTTAAAAAAAATTGCAAATACATTATCTTATTTTTATTTTAGAACAAATACCATAGCTTTAAGTTTTTTCCTTTTCTTTCAGGCTTAAAATGTTTGATCTTGAATCTTTGTTTGATGGTTGTAACTAGGGGTTTTTTTTTTGATAAAAATTAAACTCAACCAAAAATAATTATTTCTAATCCTAACTAAATTAAACTCTAAACTTTAAATCTACCAAACACCTTAAAAAAGAAACTCCAAATGAAATTAACATACCATAAAATATCATAATCCAAGTACAATTAATCAACATATAATCAAAAGTCTATAAATACAATCTTTAATAATGAATCTCCATATGCACATTTAATAATCTATATGCCTGAAATAAAAATCCTTGCGGAAAGGGATAAGTTTTCATAACACATATATGATGATGATTGTATTAAAAACTTTCATATTAGTGCATAACTCATCACATCATTCCCAAGGTACATTAGTTTGCATAAATGGTACAATGTTTTAAAAATGTGTGATGGTCAGTCACACTAAATACATCATATGCACGCCTAACTTGCACACATCAAATACATCGCATGGTGCTACATGCATACATGACATATATCATTTACACGCCTCGTGTGCACATATTAAACACATATTTTGCACGCCTTGTGTGCAGAAATCAAATGCGTCCCTCTTGAATGATATCAAAATGCCTAGTCCACACTTCATAAACACATATTTCATAATAATCACCACTCCATATGCAAACACACATATTTTATAGATACTTCCAAAAATATATCTATATCAATTACTCACAATCATATAACGAGTTTCATTAGATCATATGGATGTAAACACACATTCCATGTATATTCTTAAAGATATAGTTCATATTTATTATTCAAAATCATGTATCAAATTCTCACTTTGTAGTATTCAACCACTTTCATTACAAAAGAAGTTCGTATATGGTGCTCTTGAAATACTTAAATATATTTAAACATAATATTTAATCAACTTTAAATTCAAATAAAATCAAATAAAACATAATAAATCATCAACACATTTGAATTATATACTTGTTTGGATATAACAAAGGTTTATGTGATCAATAGATGTAGTTATCAATATTTAAACATATAGATAATAAATCAACAATACTTCTGAAATACTTTTTGGCACATAATAAAAAAAAAATCTTCTACCATCTAGACCAAATTTGTATTTTTTTAAAAATTTAGGGGTCAAACCATAATTTTACAAAATTCATGGATTAAACTGTAATTTTTACAAATTCAAGACCAAACAAAAATTTATCATCTTTAACCTGACAACTAGTTTTGTATAAAATTCTAAAATATGTTTCAAGAGTCAAATTATAATTTTCTAAAGCTTAAAAACGAAACTATAATTTTCATAAATTTAGAACTAAACTAAAATTTCATTACCATTTTTATGCCTATATGACATTGCAATGATTGTCCTTTTAGATTGGGTTTGCTTTTAGATTGGGTTTGGAGGTAAAGAATAAGAAATTCAAGTTCCTTTATAATTTAAATGTTTGGAGTCATCACCTAATATTTTTATCACTAAAACTCTAATTAGTTTGTAAAGTTTGGATAAGAGAACTAGTTATGTATATGGAAGACAATATAACCTGTATTAAGCTAAAACAAGTTGCATTGTTTATTTTTCTAATTATTGTTAAGGCTTAGTTGTTTTTTTTTTCTAACAATTGATTTGTCTATTAGTTAAAACAGATTTACCTTACTAAAGTGAACTGTGATTTTATGGGTCAAATCTAGATATTTTAAAGCCAATAAATATTTTATTATATATTATATGTTTGTTTCCTTATTACTAAGAATACATATTATGTATAAAATTATAATTCTCAAATATTGGAAGTAAACAAAATGAATGAAAGAAAGGGGATATTTTATTTATGGGCTTAACTTGCTTTTTGTAATATTTTAAATATGTCTTATGTGTAAATTCATGAATCTTGATATTAAAAATAAACATATTGATTTTTTTGGTGTTTTTAAAATTTAGACCAAGTTTTAGTAGGCTTTATAAACTTGTTATAAAATCTAAGCATGCAAATTAAATATTTTTTATTTCTCATTTTTTTGTAAAACTCTAGGACAAAAAAAAACTAAAATAGGATAAAATATGTTTTTTTTTGCTTTATTTTATGAATAGCAATACAAAGGTTATACAATTCCAAGACATGCAAAAATAATTTTTGAATTTTAGATTCTTTTAAAAGAAAAACATTGAAAACATTGAAAATGAATCAAATGCTTCAAAAATATATTTTTTGGATTTTTTGAAAAATATTTTTTTAAAAAAAATCAAGAATTGAGTTATGACAATCTTTAACCTCAAAACTACTCTTTCTAGAATTCTCATAAAAGATTGGTCCAATTTCTTAACTCTATATGCCAGTAACATATCAATTAAACCAATCACATCTTAACTCATAATTCCTAACTAAATTACTAAAAATCAATTAATTGAAATATTAATAGACATTAATTATCAATCGAATTTAATAACATAAACTTTAAAAAATCTTTAAAAATCTTAACAAATTCAAAATTATAATTAATAACAAAAATCATCGTATCTTAAAAACATAATTCATCTATCACCCACAATCCATCTCTTCCCTTTCTTCTCCTACCCTTCTCTCTTCTTCTTCTTTTTCGGTTCATCTATATCTTTTTCAAATTTTTGGTTTCTTTATATTTATATATATATATATATATATATATATAAAGACCAATAGCCAATAGCTACTAAATCATTAATAACCATAAGGGCAATAATATGTTTTTCCATTTAAATTTTTAGAATATTATATTCTCTTTATCTTACAAAAAAATTCATCTTTGAAACTTGACATAACTCAAATCATTCAATACCATAAGTTTCTCATATAATACAAAATTCAATATTATCTCCATAATTCATTTCTTTATATATCATCAATCAATGCTAAAAAGCCTATTTCAAAAATCACAAAATATCACCATTGACACGACTAAAAGATTGATGTCTTCTCCCAAGTACAGGAGTGTCAAAGTAATAAATAACCCAGCAAGACCGGGGTCGAACCACAAGGAGGTTAATTGTATAAATTATAAACAACAATTATAAACAACAACAATAATAATATTAGTAATAGTAGTAGTAATAATAGTAGTAGTAGTAATAATAATAATAATAATAATAATA